CAATTGTTTTCTTGTACTTCAATTTCATAAGTTTCAGAAATCGATTGTTACCGATGTATTTCTATGCTGCATTATTGCGCTTCTGGTTCCCATAGTAACTATGGATTGACTACCCGCATAACAACGCCAAATTATCCAAATATTTCTATCTATCCGTCTATTCTATCTATTCATATTTGCGGTTCTTCAGCCACCCGCATTAGCCGTTAGGATGCTGTAATTTGACTGCGCCATAATTGTATCGCCACTAAACCTATGTCTTCTTGTTGTTTTCATCTATTTTTTCCTCTTATATTGAACGGATAACAAAAAAATCGTAACTGCATCCCGGTTGTCGATAGCAGACAATTTAGTTGATAAAAATAACTTGTATTAATTGTGAGAAAAGAAGAACCAAGAAGAAGGTTACAATACACTAAAGAAGTGTTCAACTGTTCCCACAGCGTTGAATCAATTTTTCTTCCAACAACTATAACATTTCAGTTATAAAGAATGTTCGGATACTTTTTTTTTTTGCTTCTTAACAACACCAATTTTTGATACTTCAAACAGATTACATCATTCTTCAGGATTTTTTTTTTTCTTTCTTTGACTGTTATAAATTTTCCTTCTTATACATGATTTTTGAGATGCCATTTTAGTTTACAATGTTGATGTATAAAAAAATTTTAGGAGGTACATCTGTCATCAAAACCACCCCTTCAGTTTTTATCCGTTTATTCATTCACTTGCCATATTATTGCAGATGATTAGCCAACCAGCCATATGGTCCATAACAGAGTAGTGTAATCACATAGTAAACATTTAACAAGAAATAAAAATGGAAATAAAAATAAAAATAAATTTAAACAAGCATCAAAAAAAGAAAAAAAAAAAACAAATAAAAGTAGTAATTTTTTATAATGAGATCAATAATCACAGTAACAAATGCACACACATAAAAAAAAAAAACAGGAAAAATATACCACAAAAAATTTTTTGATGTAATCCAATTGACAGAACACCACAATTATGAATGACGTTTAAATGATGAATACAACTCTTCTGTAACTATTGTTCAAATAAAAAATTATTCTTTTTCACCTCTTATTTCTCTCCTCTCTTCCTCTTACTTTTTCCCAAAAAAAAAAAACTACAGGAAACAGTGGAAACATCATCAAAAAACAAATGAAAGTTTCTTTGGTTGACCCTCTCCTCTGCAGACAACAAGGAAAAAGAAAGTACCATTTCAACAGCAGTAACTACGTTATTGTAAAAACATTGCTTTACAAGAATGATCAAATTCCTTATTCTTTTTACTTCCCTTTCCTCTTCCTCCTCTCCACAAACTTCTTGTTTTCTGATAAACAACCTTTTACTTTATCGTCTTAGTGAACAATCACTATAGATTCTGTTTTGATACAAAAAAAACAAGTAAAAAGCAACAAACTCAAAGGTGAATGTCTTAGTTAAAGCAACAAGAATCAAAAAAAAAGACATAGCATTGCTGTCAAACATAAAATATCAGATTTAAAACAGTTTAACGTTTAGCATCTATAATATAAGATTAGCATT